CTGTTGCATCACAGCTCACAGCAACCTCCATCTCCTGGGCTTAAGCAATTCTCTTGCCTCAGCCTCCCAAGTAGCTGGGACCACAGGTGCTTACCACAATGCCTGGCCAATTTTTGGCTCTAGTTGTCATTGTCGTTTGGCAGGCTTGGGCTGGATTTGAACCTGCCAGCTTTGGTGTATGTGGCTGGCACCTTAGCTGCTTGAGCTACAGGCACCAAGCCAGCCAGCAGATGTCTTAGGGGCATCAACTGGGACATTTTTGGAGGGGATAGGAGCAGGAGAATAGGACCAGCAGAGAAGGAGTTAAAGCCCCTTTGGTTTGACTCCCATGGGTGAGGGGGGTATTTACATTGGTTTTGGTGGGGAGAAGGAGACCCCTTCCACGCCTGTCACCCCTCCTCCCCCAGCCATCTGGAAGGCCATGAGTTCAGAAGCCCAATTCTATCCCCTAGAAGGGCCCCTGACAGTCACAGCAGCTGGCTGTGTGGGAGACTGGGCAGCAGGGGCCTGACTGCCTGGATCTCCAGTGGGCCTGTTTGCTCAGCAGTATCAGGAGTCCTGGAGGTAAAAATGGTCCCTCATTTTCTTTCTAGTTTCAGCATCTTAATTCACCTGGGAGTTACGCTGGGCAGGGTGAGGCCTTGTTACAGGTGAGAACACATACTCAGAGAGGCCAAAGCACATAGCTCAGGTAGAGGGGTACAGTGGGGGCTGGTACCAGGGTCTATCTGACACCACAACCTTGCTGTATTTTGCTCAGCTCTAACCGTACTTCCTGGATGTGGGGCTCCTTCTTTGGGACACAGTGTATGCTCCTTGAATTTATAACCTGCATATTCATTGGTAGCAGCAAGGAGAGTTGTATTTGGAGCAGAGAGACTTTTCAAAAAAGGATGCAGAAGTCATAAATAATAAAGAAAAGAATTGAATTGATAGATTTGATTACATTTAAAAAAATCTATACCAGCTTCTCTAATGGTCCAAGACTCACTGCTATACAAAGAAAAGACAAACAGGAGAAAATATTTGCAATATATCTAAAAGAATTCATATCTCTAATACATAAAGAGTCCTGAAATCTATAAACATCACCCCAATAAAAAAGACATAAACTGGGGATTAACAAAAGAAGAAACCTGAATATTTAATACCACATATACATTATGAACATGCTTACAGGGGATTCTGCCCAGCTATTAATAATGCTTCCAAAAGCTGTGAACCAAACAAAACAACTCTGGCTCCTCCTCGGAGCTGCCATGCATTCTCCCTGGATCCCTGAATCCTGCTCAGTGGGGCAGCCGGGAATTAGCTGGCAGCTTAGGGTCCAAGGCCAGGCTGGCCTGGGACCTGGTCCTGAGTGTAGCATTCCAAAAGAGGCTTAATGGGGAGGGTGGAGTCTGGGGAGAGGCCACCTGTGGGCAGAGAACACCAAGAACCAGAAACACCAAAGTCAAGGGTAATGAAATGGAAACCACACTGGGGCCTGGGTACCCTCAGCTATTTGGCTTACTTGACCTAAGAGTGTAACTGCAAAGAGGGTGTTCCCAGTTAGCAAGGACCTGTGTGCCTTTGGTCTCAGCTCCTTCTGCTATCCCAATGGGTGACACAGTTGAAGGAACACTGAACGGCTTGTATCTCATTGTACTGAGATTCTAGTCCCCTCCTGATAGAGATTCTGTCCCCCAAGCCAGAGTGCAATGGCATGATCGTAGCTCATTGCAGCCTCAAATTCCAGAGCTCAAGTAATCTTCCTGCTGAGCCTCCTAAGTAGCTGGGATTAAAGGTGAGCATCACCACACCTAGCTAATTTTTAAATTTTAGAGATGAGGTTTCACTATGTTGTCTAGGTTTTGTCTCAAACTCTTGGGCCCAACTGATCTCCCACCTTGGCCTCCCAAAGTCCTGGGATTACAGGCATGAGCCACCATGCCTGGTTGACCATTGCTTTCTATTAAGCATCTACTATGTGTTGGGCACTGTTCTGAGAGCTGGGGATTTAGCAGTGAACACAATAGATAAGATCCCTTCACTCGGGCGGCGCCTGTAGCTCAAAGGAGTAGGGCGCCAGCCCCATATGCCAGAGGTAGAGGGTTCAAACCCAGCCCCAGCCAAAAACTGCAACAACAACAAAAAAAGATCCCTTCACTCCAGGCAATTGAGCTTCTGTGTCATGGGACAGGGGGTGTGGGCCCCAGGGAGAGGGCTGGGAGAGTGTGGGGATAATGGGCATCAGGGTATTGGGGCTGTCCGGCAGCAGCCTGGGAATCCCCCAGAGAGCTTGAAGAGGGAGAGGGATGATGAGCCATCTCAGTGGGCTCTATGAGCTTGCGTGAACCCGGCAATTAGAGGGCAGACATGAAGGGTAGTCAGGGTCAACAGCACCTGCAAGCCCACTGCACTTCAGGTCCCACATCGCCCCAGAGTACAGGGCATCGAACCCAAAGGGCCCACAGAGACCACCTCACTCCCTACTTCACAGCTGCAAAAACTGAAACCCAGAGAAGGAAGGCTTTGTCATGATTTCAGAGCAAAGGAAACAAGGGATTTTGAAGGAGGGATGACTGGCCTCACCTTTTCCTTTTTCCGTCCCATCCTCTTGGGGGCAGGAGTGTTTGGCCTTAATGATCTTGGGGACCAGTACCTGGAATTGGTGGGTGATCAGGCATTGGCCCTGCCCAGACAGCTGGCCTGGGCACGTTGGAGTTCCAGAATAGTATAAAGGTCAGTGTGTTCTTAAGAGTGCCACACACTAGCTCTGGAGCCTGGGGAGTAGGGGCCTGGGTATTTCTCAGCAACAAGATGATCTGTGAGTGGAGGTACCTTGGGGGGTTTGGGCCATAGCCCAGGCAGGGGTTAGCCAGTGGGCAATTGACTCCTGGCACCCCCGGGAAGGTGAAGAGAGGAGTGACCCTTTCTCTGCCCAGAACTGAGAAAGCAGTAAGCTTTCCCACCTAGCTGGGTCACCTGGGCAACGTTGTGTGATGTCACAGGGGAGGGCTGAAGTCTCAACGGCCCTAGAAGCAGCCAGAGGCTCATGCCTTTGGTCTGGAGTCTAAAGCTCTCCTGGCTCTTTGGCTACCTAACGGTCTTCCATTTCTTTGTAATAGTAAACACAAACTTCAAGAAGATAATTTCTTCTTGAGAATAGGTGGGAAGATGAGTCCAGAAGAAGGGAAAACACATAAGCAGATTTGTGATTGGTAACATTCTGGTTTTTAGATTGGGTGGTCAGTTAGTGGGAGTTTACTCCACTTTGAAAATAAATTTTAAAAAAATTAAAGACAAACAAAAGAAATTATACTTAAATAAAGAGAGATATATATGAGCCAATGATGGTACTAGGGTACAAGCCAAAGATTGTAGTTAATCCAGTTCTGAGCTCCTCAGGAAATTATAAAGACTAGAAATCTTTTTACTGAGCAGACCAGACATGGTTCTAGGTGCTCACTGTGAAGCAAGATGGCAGAGTGAGGAATGACTGGTCCTTGGCCTGGGATGGGGGCTGGCCGAAGGAGAAGGGAGGTCTTAGCTGGGCCTTGCAAAACAATCAGGCATCCTGGGCTGGAAAAGGAGTGATTTGGGGTGCTGGGTAGGGTGTTTGGGAGGCCCTAGTGGTCTCCATTGTTATTCAGACAGCCATTTTAGGCCCCACATTGGGGATTCTTTTCATCTTCCTTGGTTTGGGGCCCAAGAGCAGGACCACCCTGGCAGCCAGGAGCCAGCAGCTTCCTTCTTCTTTGCAGAGGCGTCTTGGCTCCCCCCACTCCCACTACAAAGAGAGAGGCAGAGAAGATGAAGGTCTCCCCACTTTAGAGACAGAAAAGCTGAAGCTTCACCTTTAATTAGAACAGGAAGAACCAGCCAATGTCACCCAGATAATTGAGGCTGGAAGCCAGGAACCCCACACCTAGCTTTCTCCCTGTCCAGGCCTGGCAAGGGGGGCTCTGGGTCTTGGGGCCTGCCCTGACCAGGAATGGGCTGGCTGGGAGCATAGTGCTTTACTTCCCTCTGGGGCCAACCCTGTCACAACGTGGTGTGCACAGAGGAGAGGAGAGGGTCTCAGCAGATGGCTTCCTTGTCTCCCTAGAGTGCCTCTCCCTCTTCCTCTCAGGCTTGCTTGGTCCAGGAGATAGTGGCAGCAGTTTGGAGTGGGTGGTGGCCTCGCCATAACTCCTGCCTGGAGTGGTAAGCTGGATGCTTAGGAGCATACTTAATAGGGCACTGACTCTTGGGGCTGAGCGAGGGCCCCACTCCTGCCCAGGTGCCTCCTGCCATTCTGTGCCCTAGTGCCCTGGCCACTGCGCTTGCCTCTCTGTGGCTCTGCCCTGCTGGGCTCCCCACACTTGCCCTGCCTAGCATCTGAGCTTTCTGTCACTATAGCCCCACCCCTGTGTTCTTCCTGCCTGGGAAGGAGATAATGCAATTGGACACTGGTTCCAGGCCGTCTGGCTCCAGAGAGAGAGCGGGCACTGTGCACTCAGCAGACACAGGAAGGAAGCCCCCACCACGACCTCACTCACTGTCTATCTCCCTGGACCAAGGACCCCTGGGACCCTGGCTCCTGTGCCTACCATAACCTCCTCCCCAGCACTGCTTCCTCCTGGCGGGCGAGAGGGCCCCAACAACAGTAGGGCTCCGGTGCTCTACCTTCTCGTCCTTGTCCAACAGAGAGTTGGGGGCTCCACCTCCCCAGCCCAGGGAAATGCTCCCCTGCCCAGGGGCCAGCCTCTAGCTTTGATGATTCAGGGAGATTCCAGAGTGAGGGGAAGCAGGTAATGATTAATCTCACGGCTAATAGGTAACCCTGCGCCCCTGCTCCCCCAAGAGAGAGCACTTGGACTTGTATCATTCACTAGGTGGGACCAGGGATTAAACACAGTCACTAGGAGCCCACAACTCTGGGAAGGGTTGGCTGGATCCGGGCTGGCTCTTGGGGAAGGAGGAGACTTGCTGCCTCCCTCAGCTTTGTGCTGGGCTTGCTGGGCAGCAGTCTGGGTGGATACACGTGGTTCATGGTCAGCCATGCCCTTGTGCCATGTCTAAGGCCTGGATGCTGAGGAGGCAGCCCTTCAGGACTAACTACCCATGCAGCAAGTCCCAGGGAATTGTCCCTCTCCCAGAGCCAGTGAACTGGACCTTCCTTTCTTCCTTAGTCATGTCCCACCCCCACTTGTCCCCCCATCACTCTTTCTCCATTTCTTTTGGGCAGCTGAGTTGGATGAGGTGGGAAATGTAGGCAGTGTGATTTTGTAGCAAATGACAGCTAGCTGTGTGATCCTGGGTTAAAATGTTAACCCTCTCTGAGCTTTAGTTCCCTTCCTTATCCAGTGGGGGCATCAGGGTTGCTCTGAGGGCTGAAGGAGATGGTCCAGGTAAAGCACTTAACACTGACGGTGAAGTGCCCCCAGACAAGCTTGCTCCTTCCCTGCTAACCAACTTTGGACTTGGCAAACTCTCTCCAGCACAGATCTGGCTGTAGTGACTTAAGCTTAAACCCATCCCAGCACCTCAAGAAGTAGAATGTGAACCGCCTCCGGGGGCCCACTTGAAGCCATGATTTAAGCACAAGGCAAAGCCAGCCCCCCAAATCTTTCTGCAAGGCTGAGCCTCAGAGTTGAACGTCCAAGGCTGAGCCTGAGAGTTGATGTGAACTCAGTGCAGCCTCTACTGTAGTCAGAGGAGGATATCCTTTCAGAGTCTTCCATCCTCCAACCAACAATGAGCACCTGCTGTATACACTGCTGGGGCTGAGGGTGAATAGTGGTTGGAACATGAAGACTTTGTAAGGCTCAGAGAGGGTTAACATTTTGCCCAAGATCACACAGCTATGTGCTGCCATTTGCTACAAAATCACACTGCCTACGTTTCTCACCTCATCCAACTCAGCTGCCCAAAAGAAATGGAGAGCGATGAGGTGAGTGGGAGGGGGTGGTACAGGGCTAAGCGAGAGGGAAAGCCACCTTCACTGGTTCTGGGAGAGACACACTTCCCTGGGACAGCCACCCTGCCTGGCAGGCAGCCCTCTCCATATCGCATGGCAGCTGCCACTAGGTCATGGCCATAGTTCCCTCCTCTTGGTCCTTCACATCTGGGACTAGGGAAGTTACGAGCCCCAAGGGTACTGCACTCTCCCTCTTCACCCCAAACTTTGCAAATAGTCCCTTTATTAAACTCCCCTCAAGTTCGAATGCCTTTTTTCTCTTGGCAGGACCCTGACTGATGCCCCTGATGTACAAGCCCCTTCTGTGAGCCTGAGCTCTCACCGGATGTCCTGGGGTCACCACCTTCGTGGTCAGCACCAGCTCCTTCACACACGCCCCCCCCCCACCCTTTAGTGAGCACTAACTGTGTGCCGGTGCTATGCCAGGGGTTTCCCGCACTGTCTCACTTGCCCCTCACATCCCTGCTCCTGGGCATTGTTGCTGTTAGTTCATTTTAAGATAAGAGCACTGAGGAAATGGACTTGCCTAAGGTTGCACAGCTTTGAAGTGGCAGAGCTGGGGTTTGAATCCAGCCTGCTGGCTCCAGAGTCTGTGATCATAAAAACCAAAGCACGCTGCCTGTTCCTTTCATTCTGGGGAAAGCAATTGCAGCTTTCCTTCCTTCTTGCTGGAGCAGGGGTCCTCAAGCTTTTTAAACAGGGAGCCAGTTCACTGTCCCTCAGAACGTTGGAGGGCCAGACTGCGGGCCCAGGATGAGTCGGCTGCTAAGCAGGATAGGCATCTGTGTCAAGAACACCTGGCGGGCCAGATAAATGTCCTTGGTGGGCCGCATGTGGCCTGCGGGCCATAGTTTGGGGACTCCCTGTGCTGGAGACTGGGGCAACACGAAGTTCAGATCAAAAACACCTGGCCTTTTGCATGAGGCCAGACAGACGGCTCTGTGATAGTGCGGCCTGTGGACACCGGTGGCAAGGGAGAGTGGCACACCAGAGGCTCAGCACCCTGGGCCAGGGCCCTGTAAGCAAGAGGAGAAACAGGGAGTCTGGAGGATGCCACTTTTATCCAGCACAAATGGGCCATGGGGTTGATTGACCCCCAAGGGCTTGTGTGGTCATAGCACTCTGGGCCATGACTCCTATCACTAAGCTTGCTCCTAGTTCTCACTAAGCCTCTTAGATGCAGGCTGATTCTTCAGGGCCTGCTGGTTGAATGAGTCAGGGTGGGACTCCAGAGGTGCTGGGCTGCAGCCTGCCCTTGCCCTTTTGACCTTTCCCCGGTTCTTTATTGTGCAGAGGTGACCTTTATCAGCTCAGTAAGTGGCTACTGGGCTAAATCCACATGCATCCAAGTTCCGTCACAGAGCAAGCTCTGTGATAGTCCTGACCTCTCTTGCTATGTCCGGTGAGAGGTCAGGACCACCTTTCTTTCTACACCTTGGGTTCTGGCCCCCTGGGACAGCCTGGTCTAGCATCACCAAGTAGGCAAAAAGTTTTGGGGACAAGACTTTTGCCAGCCTAGAATCCAACAGGCCTGCCTTTAACCCTGGCCCTGCCAGGCACTGCAGCAAGGATTCTGGCAAATCATCTGACTCCTTGGAGGCTCAATTCCTCATCTGCAAAGCAGAGTCATGGTGGGGATTAGACAGGAGAA